AATTAAGCGATTTATTGAGTTTATAGAGCTAATAGAAATCAGGAATAGATATGACAGAAATTCAACTTGGTTTAAGAAAAAAACCATTGTGGATACCCCTAGCTAAAAAGTTAGCCACGCTAACTATAAAACACTAGTTCTGCTAATGCTAACACCTTGCGCTAAATTAAATCATGTTGATACTCATAATGTTTGTTAAATTACTTTAGAATTTATCTAGAAAAATTATTTTAGGGTGCACTAAGCATTTTTTGAGTTAGCCAAAATGCTAACGAGCTAAATAAAAAATTAGCTCTGCTATTAGCACATTAGCTGGCATCGTGATATTTACACGATGCCAGGTTGGTTTGTAAAGATATTTTTGATATTTAAAAAAACATTTTACTGTCTGAAACGGGAAATTTTAGTTTCTGCAAAATGCTTATGCACAGAGATGCTTATTAATGTCTTAATTAGAAAGTTGGCAAATAAAATGGAGAAAGCACCAACTTTGTCAAATTTAGACAGAGCAGTCAAAATTTAGATCAGCATATTTCCAGAACTGTCAAAAAAAATCTTTGCAATAACTAAGTAACTTGTTGCAGTATCAACTTTCAAAAATGAAAATTAAACTGATTTGATGTGAAACTATTTTTTTAGCATCAGATGGAGGTAGTTAGCTGTTCCACATTCATCCCCAGAAATTTAAAACTTTTTCACATTACTTATTCAAGCTCAACTATATTTGCATTGTTTTGGTGTGGAGTTCTTCAGATTCTATTTTCTGTTCATTTTCTCATGCATTTTAGAAAGTAATTAGAATTTTTTTATTTTAATTTGATGTTATAATAGAGAACAAGTCGTGATTAAAGTATTAACCCATTTCTTTACAGCCACAAATCACTATTTTGTGGCTGTAAACCACCAGAAACCGTCATCATTCCTAGAATTTAATGCATTGTTTTGGTGTGGAGTGCTTCGCAGAGTCTCTTCTGATATTTCACATTTTGAAAATGTACTTAAAATTTGTGAAGTAAAAATTGTTTTACTTCACAAGTCGTCTTCTTTTGAAGTCGACGACAGGAAGTAGTTGGAGGATGATGGAGCAGCATGTTTTTTAATGACTTATTATTTAATGGAAATTGTGAAATTGTGTTTTTTTCTACATTTATAATGGAAATGTGGCTACTGGTGGCTTGTAATGAACATAATCTGTCTATTTGGATCTGTATTGTTATAATTTGTTACAAATATGGTTGTACTTAACCACATTTTGTTTTTTATATTCTCCAAATACCAAAAGTTTATCATACTTTTCAGTCTGAAAACAAAAGACTAAATTATGCAGCTTTTTATATTTTCCTCCATTGGTGATTTTATGTTCTGTAGCTCAGCGGTTTACAGGAACGCTTTGTTTTTTCCCAAAGCAGAAGCTCAAGAAATGCAGCCTGAGTATGAAAACAAGCCAAACTCTTGAGAGAACTGATCATTGTCTTGTTTAGCTGGACAAAAAAACAACTCAAAATATCATCACTTGGTCCAAGTCTGGCCAAAACAAAGATGAAAAACAACCGTAAAGTTTCCCGTGAGCCAGCACTCGATGGGGGGACAAACGAAGGGAGAAACCTGCGAGTGGCTCCAGCCCCGGTGTCCATGGGAAGAAGCCCGGCAGAACAGCTGCGGCGGCGGCCATGGCTCCTCATGAAAGGTTTCGCCCGGAGGCAGGGAAGCGAACGACGTGATCGTGAAGAAAATCAATTGTTCCCTCGCTGAAAGGCAGGAATCCCAGGAGGAGCAGCACCATGGTGTGTGGGACATATCAAAATATCTGACAGACTTCAGCATTTTTTCCATTCATAGAGGAGGAGGTTTTGTTTTTCCGCTCGCCGCCGACCTGTCACCCTCCCATCAGGCCCCCTCACTGCCCCGTGTCATTGTTTGGGCCCCCAGAGTTCAAAGCGGGCCGCTCAGTGTGCGCTGACACCATGTAATGAAATTAGCAGTTGTTGCTAAACAGGTTTCAATCAAAGAGTCCGAGCCAAGACCCAAAGCCCGCTGTTCATGAATCACCTCTTTCACCGACTTATGGCAGAGTGTCGGGGACATTGTTGCTGCTGCCACAGAGCCATCATTCAGCCAGGTAGTCCCACCGAGACTGAAAACACTGGATTTAAAAGGAAACCTGGCTCACAAAGTCAAGGACCCACACAAAAGGGCCGTTCTTCCCGGCCTTCAACACCTTCCTGTAGTCACACCAACCATGATGAAGAAATCATCCTGAACTCTCAAAGATAGTCCTGGAATATCGCTCTAATTGGTTTCCTGCTAAAGAAAAGCAGCACCACAGCATGATGCAGCCACCACAATACTGCTGCTCATCTATAAAGACCAGATTTGGGGAGAGTCGGGAGAATTAAGCCAACAATCCTTTCTACAGAGCTTTGTTAGATGTTCAAAGCTTGTTAATGGTGGAACCGCTGGCTAAAAGGTTAGCTGCACCAACACTGAAGCACTAATCATAAATATTAGTTCAACTAATGCTAAACAGCTATAGCTACAAAATATTTAAGGAAGCTAATGCTGAAGCATAACACCAACAGGACTTTAGCATAAGCTAATGCTAAAGCACAACCCCCGCAAGGCTTTTAGCGGAAGCTAAAGGTAAAGTGCTATGCTAATAAAATATTTAGAAACTTGTACCACAGGTCAACACCAACACAGTTTTAAGCAGAAGCTAATGCTAAGCACTCTACCAAGAATATAATTAGCAGAAATGTACACAAAAGAGATATACCAATAAAGTATTGCGTGAAGCTAATGCTAAACCGCAATACTAATAGGCTACTTAGCAGAAACTAATGCCAAAGCACTATACCAACAAGGTATTTAGCGTAAGCTAACACTAAATCGCAACACCAACACAGTATCTAGCAGAAGCAAATGATAAAATGCCAACCATGTTGGTAGCCACCATGTGTCAAATAATAAGCATGTTACCATGCAGCCTATCAGCCTCAACAAGGTCAAATTCAAAGGTCATGCCGGCCTTTAGATATTATATTTATGTTCATATCTTGTACTCTAAAGCCTGTTCCTTTATGTTGATTGTTTTAAATAAACTTATTGGTTAAAAATGAGATGTTGACGAGAGGAAACTCATTTACACTTTGATCCACTAAGCTAAAAATTAGCTCCACTATTAGCACATTAGCAGAAGTGTGCCCACTTACCCCAACTGTTCTCAAAGTAATTTTACAGCGGCATTTATTAAGGAGTATCGTAGTACAGGGGGCAGACCAATTGTTTCATGTTTCTGATTGTGTTAGCAGCTGCAATCATTCATCCTGTTCATCTACATTTCAGTGCTTGCATCTCCAACACCACCTCCTCCTTCCACACCTACAAGTGATGGCTTTGGATCCCTGCTGCTAATTTATTTGCGCTAGGCATTATGGGAATTAATGTACCTGACATTCAGTGACAACAGCCAGCGCTCTGTGGCCTTTCTTTCCCCCTTCTACGTTTCGACACATTCCTGCACCGCTTCCCACAGAGAGACGTCCATCTGAACCTCTAGGTGCAGCAGGCAGTTAGCGGCTGATGATAGTAGCAAAACATTAACATAATAATTAGTGTCTTGTAATTGTTTCATTAAAACCAGTTGTTCCATTTCTCCTCTTGTTCTCCCAGAAGACAAGAGACAGAGTTTGGACGTCAGCCAAGGAGGGAGGCTGGGGGTCCCCGCGTTCGCTCAAGATGTTCGCCTGCACCAAGATTGTCAGCGATGGCGGCCATATGTGGCGGCAAAACAAACAGATACGAGCAGAGATACGTCAGCGAGCCTTCGCGCGTCAAAAATAAAAGCATGTGTTGCATGAAGTTACTCAATAATGAGCTAAATCCTCCACGTTATGTCAACCCCTGTAAAAAGGTCAAAAAGCATAATCGCACTGAAGGCTGGCAGTTCATTTGGAGCAGCGAATGCACACACAAGCACTCATGCATACGCAGCGGCTGCACATTTGGAGCTCATTAGCATTTTAAAGAGGAGTTCCACTCGTTTACCGTTTAGTACCTGCCAGTCTGCATTTGCCAGCGCGAGCGGCTCTTCCCAAAGCCAGAGGACGAAGGGAGCGAAACCTGCGACGGCATTTACATTTAAATTATACAGCTGCCGCGGCGCAATGCCAGTGTGGGCGCACAAAGGCTGATTGAGATGTATTTTACATGTGGAGGTGTAAAAACCTGCGCCCTTAGTCACGGTTTCTCCTACGTGGTTCGGTTTCTTCTGCTGAGAATAACTTTTAGGATTAAATTCAACTGTGAAAGACTTCTACTAGCACTTCGTTTGTGTTCCTTCGATCCTTTAAAGTCGTCTTCATCAGCAGATGTTTGGGTTTCTGAAGGTTCTTCACTCATATTTCATCTTTTTTCCACTTTAATAATAAACAGTATTTAGCAATAACTGGCAATGAGTTTCTAATATCACAGTGGAGGAATTTTGACCCAGATAGAGTATTAATTCAGTCACATTGGAAGGTTTTCCAGTGTTTTTAATATAATAATAACATAGAAACCCCAGCAGACTTGAGTCTATTCCACTCTAATTCCTCTATTTTGTTTTTTTGGAGACAATCAGAGATGGACTTGCTGGTGAACTTCGGACAATCGTCCCACTGAGGAGCTTAAGTAATGACAAAAATCTGATGTTTTTACAATTTTTTTTACAACCTAAACCAGTCTGAACAACCAAATTCCAATCTTTTCACCCCAAAACAAAATCGATTTGGGTCACTTCTACATGTGGAACTAAATGGTACCCAATTGTATGATAACTCTGGTCCACCCAGAAACCTCACTCTCGGTTTGGTTGAAGTGAATTCTGGTGTGATTTGAATGCATATCTGAACCAGAAACCACTCCAAAAGCAGGAAGTGGACTATAACGCGGGGCATTCTGGGTAAATACAACCAAAACAAACGCACTAGCTTATTGCTACCAGGAGAAGTAACTCGTTGTCTTTAGCTAAAGACAAAATCTGACTCCACTCCATTTTTGTTTACATTTCATGAAGAATGAAGTTGAGCTTGGTGTCTTCAGAGGTTTTCATGTCGTTTTCTTCAGTGGTTCTTGGTGCAGCGCCCCCGCAGGTGAGGAGGAGAACAGGTATTTAAAGTTCTGTTCTTTTGAAGAGAACAAATGCTCCAATACTGGTCGCCAATTAAACCAATCCTACTGGACAATCAGGAATGAAAACACAGAAGTTCGGAGTCGCTCTTTGACCTCACAGATGAGTCGGTTATAAAAATTGGACTTAAATTATCACAACAATTACCGTTTTGGTGATATTCTAGTTGATTTCCTTCGCACATTGTCAACTGAGCCAAAGTCCAGTCTGGAGATAAATCCAGATAAAGATCTCCACCGGCGCATGGGGCGCGCTGAACAAATGTAAACAACAAGTGCACAAACAGCCGTGACAGCTTTGCAACAAATGCTCTGAAGTCGGTTTCTCCCCGCGGTGTTTTTGTGTCCCTGAACGCGCCAGATGACCCGACACACATGAGCAGGCACGCAGTGGTCGGTCCGCAGCTGCCTGCTCTCAGCCAGAGACGAGGCCGGTCGGTAGTCGGATACCACCGGCAGAGATGTGACATTTACAGTTTCTTTTTCCTGACAAACCTCTGACAGCCGGCTCCCGCGGATCATTATCAAAGCATTTCTGTCTGTATAATCGAGATGAATGCTCACGAACACAAGCGCCATCAGTTTTGTGGAGGAGCAACTCTCGAGGAGGTTCTTTTAACTCATACATTCCCATTTTTTATTTATTTTTTCCTCCCACAGACGGATTTGTTGCGCTGACAATGTTTCCGTCGACTTATTGAATCTCCGGCAGAAAAAGGGGGCAATCTGGGAGGCGGGCTGCAATCTAAAACATTGATAAATAAATGCAGGGGGATATGAATATGGCTGTTTGTTTGTTTGTGCTGGGTGTCGATTTAATCCCAGCTCGCCTTTTACAAAACTGATTGGTGTCGCGCACCGCAATTAACTCCCCCAGCTCCGTCTATAAATCAACTTCCTGAACTCTGTGATGGAGGAGATGATGCTTTTGGAAATTAGCACCATCCGACCGACGCTCCGGAGGGATGGAAAATATAAAAAACCCAGAAAGATGAAGGGCTGGATTTCTGTAATATCTGATATTGACGTGGAGAATCACGCTGATTCTTGGCGGCGCCGCGGGGGGAAGATGCGAGCGTACTTTTTCATCTTAACTGATCGCTGTTTTGGTTCCCATTGAAGCGCCGCCGCCGCCATTATGAGGCTTTTACGTCGTAACACTGATCCGTCTGCGTCCACTGTTGCTTTACTTATTTATGTTTCATTTACAACTCCTGGTGTGAGTGTTCCCAGATACACAGAGCGTATTTGTGTGTGTGTGTGTGTTCCCTGATAGCACTAATCCTGTTTACTTCCCTTTCCTCTCTTCTTCAACTTCCTCGTCTTGCAGGCCTATCCGTGGCTCCTGCCCCGGCCATCCAGAACAAATGGAGAAACCCTCCGCCCTCTCCAAATATTTGATGCCCTCTCTGAATATGTAAACCGCAGCAGCAGAGGCAACGCTGAGAAATTACCAGAACTATCTGGGCCATTGACAGGCCTCCCCTGTGGTCAAATGAGCCCCCTCCTTCCCGACCACTCCGGATTCTTTGGCTCTCCGTAGATAACCAGCAGGGGGGAGGAGATAAATTTGGGCCAGTTCTGGCACTCCAATGTGGGGAATTTAGACAAGTGTGTCTGTGGTGTGGCACTTCACCCCTGAAAGGAGATTTGTGAGGTGTAGAAAAAAAAAAAAAACATTCTTACCAACTGGTTTGCCTAAATTGGACCAATATGTCCAGGAAAGAATATAAACGTTTTACGTCAGTTAATATCAATAATTATTATTATTTTTTGTTTTCAATAACTGAAAAGCAGCCAAACTGTTAGCATGATTGTTTTAACCAGGCCGTTGTTTCTTATTTTTAAGTCGTCATGAAGCGAAACTTTAAACTGCTGCTATGCCAGATACTCAACAAGTTGTTGCTAGGCAACCAAAGAGTGAGTGAGTGTTGATTCCACCAACCTAGCTTAGCGGCTAGAGCCTTTCTGGATTAAAGTTCAGTGATTATTCTATAAACTGAATATTCTATCATTATATTATCAATATATTATCAGTATTATCAATTAATGTCGATCACATTTCTATAGTGATATATATTGCTATTGATTTATTATCTGTACTAATATTTGTGGCGAATTCTAGACTCAAAAGTTGACCTTGAAAAGCTACTTCACTGTTAATTAGACTTTTATTTGAATTTTTTACAATGAAACTTCCTCTATTTAAATAAAATTGTTATATAAATAAGTGTGTCTAATTTTGAGGGGTTTTTTTGACAGACACTCATCCTGTTTATTAAAATTACAAGTTTTTTACTACTGAAAGTTTGATTTTTAGCTTCAACTTTTCTAATTTGATGAATTTGAAAAATGTGGAAATTTTCACAATTTAGAAAGTCAACTTTAAGGCTTTTAAAATCTAAACTTAATACAAATATATTTTTAAGTATGTTACAAAGGTGAATTTATAAAAAGGTATTTGGTTTAAATATTCTCCATGTTAACTTGTAGCATGTTGCCAATGTTGATCTTTTTAAATCTCCTTTTGATAAAAACTTAAAATCTGCACTAGAATATTTCACATTTATATTACTGATGTAAAACTAAAGCTCCTGTTTCTTGCTACAAAGTTAGTTGTATAATAGTTTTGTCTTATTTGCACTATAAAATAGACCAACAATACTTGGTAATATTTGGTGTTTTTGCAGTGTTTTGTCTAAATTTGTTGACATTTCAGGGTAAACATCTCACAAACAGAATGCTAAACCTCTTTAATCTCTATTTCTTGTTCTGCCAGCAGATCATTATGGGAAAATTAATTATTTTCATCAATATTAAGCTCCTGTATCTTGTTGAAAAGTTATGTGGAAGTCAGTTTAGTCTTATTTCAAGTCTACTATGGCATTTGCACTGGAAACTAAATAAAACTACTTTGTGTTTTAGCACTGTACATGTGTAGTTTTATAAATGTTTCTGAGTTAAAGTGAAAACCAGAGTTTAGAAGCTGCTCCCATCCCTTCTGTTGAACGTAGTTTTGATTTAGGTGGCAACATTTGAACCATTTGTGAAATCGGTGACCCTCTGGCGCTCGCGCGGCCTCTCTTGGCTCGTGGCGGCGTCGGGGGAAATCCTAATTCACAGAAGCCGTGGCCGCTCCTCAAACCCGCCGGCAGATGCTCCCTGCGTCCCGCCTCGCCAGCCAACATGCCTGTGTCTGTCCGGACGCGTCATCTGTCCATTCGTCCGTCCATCTGTCCGTCAACACGGCGAAGCAATGAGAGGACTGAGATATGTGTTGCCTCAAATAATGTCTAAAACTAGAGGAGAGATGATTTATTGAAGGCAATATGTTCGTGTTAATCATTTACTGGGTGACGTGTTTGAGTGCCCACATTGGCTGATGAATGATTGATGGCAACATGTTACTGTTCAGACTTCTTCTTCTGTTGTTTTTGGATATTTTGAGACAATTGTTAAAGTTTCTAATTGAGTAGAAATTGGTTTAGGTGACGAGTGAATATTGAGTTCAAATCAGTACGCAGACGGAGAACCAAGTGGACGATTTTAGCCAAACGAAGCGTCAATATCTCACAAATTTACACTTAAGTGACAAGTAACCAGTTCAAACGGGTACAGAGACACGATTGAATTGGTAAATTGGTAGATTTTGAAATTGTCAATTGATTTTCAAAACCAAAGCAACTTTTTTTTATACGCATTTTGAACTATTGTGTTAGAAAAGATTGAAATTCTAAATTTCACACAAAAGTTTTTACACTTTTCCAAAAAAGAGTTAATGCGCTAAAGGAGCCGAATTAGTTCAGACTTTCTTAAATTCACCATCCACTGGTGGGTCTGTGCCGTACCAGGGGCACAAACTATGATAAATCTTCAGCTCGAAGGGAAGAACTCTTCATTTTTTTTCTTTGTGTTCTCCATGCTAGAAATCTAAACGTAGTTGTCCGCCATCTTGTCTCGAGCATTTATTAACTCTTAGACAATAAATTGATGAAAATACGAAAACAAAATAACTTTATTTAGTTTCTCCCTTGGAAAGCACTGCTGAGATTTTGCTTTGTGTTCTTAAAAATGAAAAAAATGGAAGTACAATGATACACATCTTTAATTTTGCATGTTTTATGTGAAAATCCTCCATTTTCTCACCAAACTGATCGTCACGACTTGTGAGAATCTCCCCAGAACCTACAGATGGGAAACTTTCTCGACAGCACACTTGTTAATGAATAAATCATCCCGTTAATGGCAGAAAGTTTGTTTGCCTCGTGTGTTTTTGTCCTGATGAACCCTGGAAAGGTCCGCCGGCCATCTGCGGCCGCACGCCAGAGTGTGTGTCTCTATTTTGGTGTGTGTCGGCGTCCGGCGTCCACTGGGGACGCTCGGCTGCTGCCCCACTTTCCCCGCTCTCATGTCGGAGCAGGACCATCTGACGGGACGGCGTGGGGGGGTTCGCCAGCGTCGCATGTCTATATTTGGCTGCTGCCAGAGCCTGGCGTTGCAGTTGTTTTCCAAAATGCAACGGGGCAATCGATGATAATGAGGTAGGACATTTTAATTAGGACTGTTGCAACCTGGGTAAGGCGTGCAGGAAGGAGGAGGCAGAGGGGGGCTCTGGTTGCCATAACAACACCTTCTGGGAGTTTGCCGCCGCATTTTTTAGGAGGAAATTCAAAATTGAACAGACTGGTTTAGTTTAACAAACTAAAGTCATGATCATGTTTTACAGGGTTGTAATAGTTTTGGGTTTTTCACTGGAGTTTAGTTTTATTTCATTGCAACAGAAATCTGGAATAAACTTCCTGAAAACTGCGAAACTGCTGAAACACTGAGTTCCTTTAAATGAAAACGAGAAACTCACTTGTCAAAGTTGATTTTGAACCATAATTAATGGAGCATTGACCAACATTTTGATGTGTATTGATGTTTAGAAATATAATTTGTTACTTTTTTCTCAAATTGATGACTGTACATTGTTTCTGTGTTTTTATGATGTAAAGAACTTTAAACGGCTTTGTTGCTGAAATATGATTTACAAATAAACCCTATTGATTACAATTTAATTTATAAACCAGGTTTAAAGCAGGTTTTGTAATGGTTTTGGGTTTTTCCTTCATAGTTTAGTTTTATTTCCTTATTAAGTGAAATAATCTGCTAGATCATTGTTAGTATTTTTAGCTACAGATGCATCTTTTGCTACAAATGACTAAGAAATACTATTTACAAATGAATTAAATTGTTTATTTGCATCTTTTAATGTATTTCTAAAACCACCTAAAAAGGCTTAAGTGGTTTAGTTATTACTTTTTGAATCCAAATCGTCAGAGTAATTAACTAAATTAATAGTTGCAGCCTTAAAATAAGCATATTATGGCAGTGGAAAGCCACGTTTGACTGATGTTAATATTACAGGAACTGAACTTTCCATCTAAATAAGAGCAACTCAATGTGAACACTTAATTTTCTTTAAATCTTAAGTTTTCTCTGAATGACAACGCTGCACATCGTCCACATCCAGCCTGTCCTGCCATGCCTGCAGGTCGTTAGAAGCCATTTGCACATTGTGAACTCAAGTGGTAAGGAGGAAAAAAATACGGCAAAATTCATAACAGTGCAAGAGATCGGACCAAAAACCGCCTGCAGGAAAATCACACTGTTGTGAAAATGAAACGTATCAAGTTTAAAAAAGGTGAAATATTTAAGAAATGTTTATGTTTTTAAAAATAAATGCATAAGGAATGAGAAATCACCTACAAATGAGAAATATTTTTGATTCCAAGCAACCTTTTGTCCTGAAACTGTTTATGTGGAATCAGGAAAATAAATCTTTCATGAATGGAAAGAAGGAAAAAAAAAAAAGCAGTTTTTTTATGCAGTGGCTATATGTGTGCAGGATGAAAACAAAGCAATAAACCCACTGACACTTTTATTTAATATTCACTGTGCATCCCCAAGCAAAAGCGACACAAGGTGTTGGAAAAAAAACACGGAAGATGTGGAAAAGTTGGAAATAAGCGCATGAATAATCCTGTGCAGTAAAAAGAGAAGCGGTCAGTTCCTGGTGCAAAACCTGGGAAAGCCAATGGCGATCGGCGCGCTAATCAACTAAAGGCAACATCAGAAAGAATAGGTAATTTGAGACACAAAAAGAATAAGTAATTTGGGAGGCGCATACCCAAGCGGCCAAATTATTTATGCCTTATAGAGACTGGGGTGTGTGCATTCATTTGCAATTAAGCAATGCGCTTTATTACCTGTCAGCCCAGAGTCCCGCTCTGCGACGCCTTTAATTACACAGCGAGGTGCAGAGGCACTTCCTGCTGGAAGGGAAGGAGCTTCCTCTGGAGCCAAGATGGCGGCCAGGTTTAGAAAAACGTTTCTAATACTTTCTCTCTTAATTAACTTCAGTGAAATGTTAACTTCAGCTTTGCCTTATACTGAAGGGTTTCAGACTTCTGAGGTCTATAATGTCAACAAAGAGGGAAATAATTAATGTTGAGTCTTTTGTTAAAAAGAACAAGATGTTGGTTCATCTAGTTGGATGAATCAATATAAACCCTGAAGTGGGTCAAGAACTTTTTTCACTTATTTATAGGTCAGTTAGCCATGTTGGGATCAAAGGTCAATGCTCTATAAGCGCCCCCTAAGTGGTCAAATAAGTAGTTTAGGCTGAACTGAAGTGGAGATTCTTCAAGCACATTAAGTAGAAATGAGTCAATCTTCATCTGAGTAGACAGAGAGTCTGCACAGGATGGATGGTAATTAAATATGAAAGATGGATGGATGGATGGATGAACGTTTGGACAAGCAGTCTGATGGGAGTTTATTTGAATGGATGTACACTTGGATGGATGGATGGACGGACGGACAGACGGACGGATGGATTACAGTTGGCTGGATGGACAGATGTACAGATGAATGGATGGATAGTTGATTGGATGGATGTTCGGTCAGTTGGATGGATGGTTGGTTGCTTGTACGATTGGAGGTGCAGTTGGTTGTATGGTTGGGTATTTAAATGGCTATATGGTTGGATGGATGGTTGTGTGATTGGACTTACTGATATATGAACAGTTGGATGTACATTTCAATGCTTGGTTGGTTGTTCGGTTGCATGTATCTAATGAAGGATCCCTATCCAACAAATCCGTTGTTTCTGATCTCCTCCCAGTCAGGAAGTATCAGATTCAGACTGTTGACCTTTGACCACCAGCCTCTCTGCTCATCAGCGGAACTTCTTCGACTTCGGCCCAGCAGATCCCCGGTTCTGATTGGCTCCCAGCAGAACTGAAGCTGGCTCCCGTAAGAGCAGATCTCCTGTTAAGTATGGGAACCCTGAGAGGACAAACGTTGGAAGGAATCTGCTTTCCTTAAATAAACGCATCCGTCTGGGGAATAAAAAAAGGTTTCCATACATAATTAAGAGGATACATCGTTAGCGGCCCGACGTGTCTTTGTGCTGCACCTTGCAGGCGTTCGGCACACAGGGAAGGCTTTATTTAGAAGCACCAGACATGGGGAGCATTTACATTTCAGACTTTACTCTTTCAAGAATAAGGAGGGCGATCCAAGATCTTTCACTTTATAATTCCACATGAAAAAAATGAAGAAAAGTGAAATAATTTATCAAAGAAAAAGAAGCTACAGCACACAAACAAATTAGCTGAGTTAAAACAGCAGGTCAATATGAGGAAAATAACCTCCTTACCACTGTTCAGTACGGTAGAAGATCTATGATGGTGTGGGCTTATTTCACTTTCAAATGTTCAAAATATGTCTAAAGCTTCAGCTGCTTTACTAATTCTCTTAAACACCCATTGTGCAACACCTAGTTTGGAACAAAATCCAGAAAAACAGTAGTTATAATAATAAGCTATAAGCTACCTCAGCTATTAGCACGTTAGTGGATATAAAACCATATAGAACCAAACCTTCAACACAGATGTCCAACTTTATTCATCTAAAAGTTTACAAAAGACAGACTAGAAAATGCATCTAGAAGAATTCATTCAAGAGAATTAGCTAAGTGGAGTAACACTTCCAAAGCTAGTAAAAGGGCTAAAGAGCTAGCCTAAATGTTAGCTCTGCTATTAGTACATTTACAAAACAGAATAATTTAAAATCTATCCAGACAAACAAATATAGGCTCAGCAAAGTGCGCTAACAGTTCCAAAATTAGCAATAGGGGAAAAGTGTTAAACTAAATGTTAGCGACGCTAGAAACATATGTTGAACTTTATTAAAAATAAAAAAAAAACTGATTAACTGAAATGGATCCAGAAAAAATATTTAAGGGAACCTAGCAGTTTCAAAGTTATCAAAAGGGCTAAGATGAAAGTTAGCTTAGCTCTATGGCATATTTCCAAAATAGCTCGATTTTAAATGTATCCAGAAAAATTTAATTAGTGGAATTAATAGTTTCAAAGTTAGCAAAAGAGGCTAAATCACTAACCTAAATGTTAGTGACTTAGCAAAAGGGCTAACCTAACTAATTTAAAATATATCTATAAAACCACTACATGCTATTAGCACCTAATAGTTTCAAAACTAGCAACAGGGCTAAAGTGCTAAGCAAAGCATTAGCTACACTGTTATCAAATTTGCAAAACAGCTTAATTTAAAATGTATCAAGAATTAGCTAAATTAACTAAAACTTTCAAAGTTAGCAAAAGTGCTAAATCACTAATTAGCTAAAAGCTAATTCCACTATTAGCACATTAGTGGTTCTCACCACTGCTCAGACATAAAACCATAAGACTAAAGAGTCTTAATTTGAATGTTCTGGTAAACATTTTCATGAACATGAGTACACCCTGTCACTGAACGAGTGTTTTCTCCTTTTTCCACCCGCTTCATGATCACATATCCGCCGTGCTCAGAAGAAGCTGCTCATCACCCCTCCAAGGCCCTGCGAGTCATCATCCAAGTCACAGTCGCAGTGTGTAGTCAAACTTTAGGAGCGCTCCGGGGGTCCATCGGCGGGAAACTAGCGCTAATTGTGGTAATGAGCTTGTTTGGATAAGCCCTCCGTTTCCCCCTCTCAGCGGCGCAAGAGGCCATCTGACTTCCAGACACTTCCAGGCCCAATCGGGATGGACCGGCTCCGACTGCGACACTCCCCCGCCGCTGCCGCCTCGATCATCACTAGCGATAAAAGTATCTGACACAGAGGCGTACAGTCATCCATCATCGCTAGTTTGAGACGCAAGTTTAGCTTCTGCGTTCGCTAGCAGTGAGGGATTACAGGATCTTTTGTTTTGATGGCCCTTCCTTAATGGGGCCGCATTAAGGGGAAATCCTAGGGGCCGGTTTTTGGGTGATTAAGCAAGCAACACATTTACAAGTCACTAATTGAGAGAACAATGCCAGAAACCCAAAGAGGGCAGAGCTGTAATGAAGTGCGGCTTGTCAGGACACCGCGTCCTGCTCCAGATACAGATGTGTTTGTTTTTACTCACTGATGAGCTAAAAATCAGTGGCAGCCCAAAAGCCAACGACTAGCATGAAGAAGATGCATCATTTCCCTTCTGATTCAGCAGAACTGGCCATCAGCTTTATCATTCTGAGTCCAGTTCTCTGAATTCACCACAAACTAACAAGACAGCACATTGTCTTTGTGACCTATGAGCAGGCAAAGCATTAAACAAGATTTATTGGTACCAAGAAAGGTCTTGGTATGCAAAGTCAACAGATGTTTATCCAAAAGAAGAGCACTTTGTGCTCAAGCTGCGGCCTGCGGCTACGTTTCAGCAGTTATGCAAAGGTTTGAAAGCCCCTTGTTCTTAAAAAATGCGACATTCAAACCTCAGTGGAGGAATGTTCTCACGCAAACTCTCCCCATCCTCACCTGACATGAGTTAAAGGGACATTTGATGCTGATCTCTAACTCTAAATGCCGCTTTTAAACAGGAAAGGCGTGGCCAGGACAAGCAGATGATTAGCGCTGTCCGGCTCCTTCGCTGGGCCTGAATGCTTTGATCAAGACATCTAATGGTCCAGATCGTTTCATGTGAACTTAAATATATTCCAACAGCTTCCAAGGCCATAAATAATAAAAGCAATGTCCGTTTTCACCCTAACCTTCTGGTAATGGTCTTTCTGGAGGACTTTTAAAGACTTTCTAGAAACTTTGGCTCCTTTTTTACTTCCATGCAATCCAGTTCCAGACTAGCTAAAGAGGAATGTTTTATTTGTTTGTCCAATAAATGTCCATTTAGAGATGAAAAGCCTCTAAAACTCAAGTGCTGAACCAGTTTCACCCAAAATACCAAACTTTAGCAATAGTATGCTAGCTTAATTTAAAGTTTGAGAGCTGAAAAGCCTCTCAAAACCCAAATTATCTTCCATGCTAATCTGACTTTCAGCCATATAATCCAACAAGGAACATAACTGTACACTGTTAGCCAACCATCTTCCATAGTTTAGCTAGTGCCTTGAAACAGAGCAGCTAATGTTGCTAACTCTACAATGAAACCATCCAGACTGAGCTCTGATTGGTCGGCCCTACAGAGGGCGGAGCTTTGTATAAACCTCATAAGCCCCGCCCACTTAGAGGAGGGGTTCATGATTGCAAGGAGGCCATTGTCTGCCTAGCAACAAATATATATATATATATATATATATATATATATATATGTTTGTATATATGTAGCTCACGTCACGTTTTAAATATTTATACACAATATATTCACATATATATTATATATTTACAATATTTTGCAAGCAATATTTCTATACTTTAATTACTCGTATGCTCTTAGTTTGACACAGTGCAGTGTGAGACTTGTGTGGAAAACCGGTGGTTTTATTTGTGTCATTTGCCGGTGATTAATGAAACATGCTCCGATCCATCAATCTGTCCCCGTCTTTGTTCACACTGCAGTGAAATCAGGTTAAGCAGCGATGTCAGATCTGGCAGCAGATGTGCAGCTCAGGTTGTTGTGTGCTGCTGCCTCGTGGCCTAATTAAAGAAAAACCCAAGCAGCCAAATGAAGCTGCAGTCACCTGAGATGAAGGACACATCCTCTGTGCCAGGAGACGATTCATATTTGATTTTTTATTTATATTTCTGTGCCGTGCAACACTCGGGGAGAAAAAGAAGTGGGTCAGCGAGCAGAAACCAACTTTGAAACATTTGTGTTGTCAGTCTATCTCTGGTTAAACATACTTCTGTATCCCATTTCCCCGGTGCATATTACTCATTAAAAATGTTTAACAACATTTTAATTGAAGAATTAATTACCTTCGGCTGCGCAAAATCCTCCTAAATTTCACCAGGGGAGTCGTCAGAGGAGCAGACGTAGATGCAGGGAAGATTACATCAGCAACAGAATGTGAGTCGACGGCGAGAAGCACGTGAAATTCACGAGGAAACACGTCGGTGAGCGAAGCGCTACGATGTCCCACCAAACGTGTGACTTCGGCCCACCGAGCTGCAGGACAAACGTCATTTATATCCTCCAAGAATTCAACTCTGAGACGATCAGGGGAGGAAGCACCAAGTTCAGGGGTGACCAAATTATTCACAACGTGGGAGAGAATTCCATTTTGTTTTTCCAACTTAAAAGCAAATAGATTACAGTTTCTGTTTTCATAACAGTTTATGTGGTATAGAAAATGAGAAGTTTGCTTTGAGTAAAAAGTCGCTGGGTGTTTAAAATGTAAAAGTAAAAT